TCGAATGCATTTTCTGAATCAATTGAGAGGATCATAATTCTCATTCTTTCTTTTATTTATGTAGTATATGACATTGATTGATTTGCAAATGTAGAAAGACCTTACAGCCCAGGAAGTAATCCCACCTTGCTGTGGTGAATAATCCTTTTGATGCACTGGTCCATCCAATTGGCTAATATCTTGGTGAGAATTTTGGCATCCACATTCATCAGGGATATTGGTCTATAATTTGTTATAGTGGGATCTTTGTCTTATTTTTGGATCAAGGCAATGTTGGCCTCATAGAATGAGTTTGGAAGTTTGCCTTCCATTTCTATTTTTTGAAACAACTTCAGAAGAATAGGTAGTGGACGAGATCAAGAGTCATATGCTCAGGAGAGGGAGCAAGATGGTGGAGAATAGGAGACTGAAATATCGTCAGGTCCCAGGAGTTTGGCTAGATAGTTATCAAACCATTCAAACACCTACAAACACCTACAAACTCAACAGGAGATAGAAGAGAAGAAGAGCAGCAATTCTAGCAACAGAAAATTGACCACTTTCTGGAAGGTAGGACATGTGGAGAAATGAATCCAAAGCTAAGGGAAGATAGACCATGGGGGGAGGGGTCAGCTTCCAGCAAGCAGTAGAGCAGCGGAGCACAAAATCTGAATTCTTAGAAGTCAGCTCCACTGAGGGACGTTGCTCCAGATACTACGTGGGGGTGGCACCCTCACGGGAACAGTGTGGTCTCAGGACCCATGAGGACACAGAAAGCATGGGGGTGCCTGAGTGTGGCAAACCCCCCAGGTATTGGAGCGGGGAAACCAGCTACAGATATGGAGCCACAGAGTGTGCTCTCAGCTCAGGGTTACCTTAAACTGTGATCCAAGATACAGGAAGACCACTTTTCTTTGAGTGAGGACCCCACAAGTGATTTCTCATGAGCATAAATGCACACAGAAGGCAGTGGATTAACATCTTGAAAATACCAAAGAAATAAACAGCAGGAAACTCCTGAATTTTTTATCCAGGGAAAATTTCCTTCAGTAATGAAGGCTAAATAAACCAATTTTTCAGCTACCAAACTGACAGAAACAGTCATCAGCAGACCCATAACACTGAAAATAATACTGGACTTCCCTCAGGCATGAGGAAGTGATTACAAAAAGGATACTAATCTACAAAATGATTGTAATAGTCAGAAATGGTAGGGGTACCTGGGTAGCTCAGTTGGTTAAGTACCTGCCTTCAGCTCAGGTCATGGTCCCAGAGTCCTGGATCAAGCCCCACATCAGGTTCCCTGCTAAGCAGGGAGCCTGCTTCCCCTTCTCCTTCTGCCTGACACTCACCCTCTTTGGAAAATAAATCCCTGTCTACAGCAAATCTAATCACTGCATATGTTGGAATTTATCATATATCTAACCGTGATGGGTATGACATTCCTAAGACAGCACTGAGAAGAGAGAGCAGGAAGTGGGCTCTAATGTCTGGTGCTCTCTGTCACATGGTGTGATGGCACCTGAACGTAGACTGTGAGTAGTTACAGATGACAGGACAGTAAGGAGTTATAGTAATAAGCCAAAACAGAAAGAAAATGGATCATAGAAAAATGTTCCAATTCTCAAAAAGAAGATAAAAATGGAAAAAGAGAGCAGAGAACACAAGGTACACACAAAAAAATAAAAAGCAGGATGGAATCTAACAAACTATATAACCACTCACAGTCAGGAAATTCTCTAAACCCCATCATTAAAATAAAGATATTGTCAATTTGAGTTTATCAGCAACACCCCAGGATAAGAAACCTACAGTAAAGAAACTTATACAACGTGTAAGATCAAGACAGTTTTCCCACTGGATTCTGTTCCATAATTCAGGATGTAAAAAAAGCACAGACCAGAGAAAGTGGGAAGTTGAACTGAACTTTTACACATGGTCTGGATGGATTATTTCATGTCCTGTGTATTTGAAACACTCACAGAAATAGAATCAAATGATCATAGAACTCATTTCATGAAAACAACAACAGAAATTCCCTCACAACAGAAATTCCCTCCCCTCTCCACCTCCCAAGTTGTTATGCTGCTCAAACACAGAGTGACAAGAGCTCCCCTATGGAGCTGAGATGTGAGCACAGCCCCATGTAAGCCAAATCTGTGCCTCTCACCCAGAAGCAAGGAGACTCTCTCCACCACCATGAGGACCATTTTCACAGGAACCAGTGAAAGGGTGTGAGGGACGCTCAGGGAGGCCAGGCTCAGCAGTGGACTCAAGAGAAAGAGTCTGGACTTCCCACCATTGCCTTGACCCTCCTCTGCTACCCCTACTCATTTGCTGCCCAGGTGCAGTCCAGGCCTTGCCCGCAGGCTCAGCCCCCACATGACCCTTAGCATGACCCTGAGCCTGAGCTCAGCCCAAAGGGTGCTGGAAGGGGTGGGGCCCAGAGAATGAACACCATGGTGTTCTGAATCTATAGGACCTGTGTCCACTGCAAGATTCATCTGACCCCATTACTGTGGCCACAAGACCCTTGTTATTCTCTCAAACTTGGAGCACAGAGAGGACCAAGCAGTAATACAGAGAAGAGCCAGGAGGACCCAAGTCAGGCCCCTGCACAGCCAAACAGCCTCCACTGTCCCCACAGATTCCCCAGCTCAAACCTGGGGCATGACATCCCTGACCCTCCTCATGGACTTACTACCCAGGCTCCCTTATAGACCAGGCCACGAGGAGGATGGCAGTGAGTTGAGAGACAGAAGCCCTGCTGCTCAGCCTGGACTCACCCTCCCTCCCACCTGCCCTGGTCAAGCTCTGCCCTGAGGAGCCCAGAGTCTGAATTTGGCACATGTGTTCTCCCCACCTGGACTCATCCCACTCTCCTCTTCTTCCCTGGAAAGTTAGCCTCTCTGAGCCTCAGCTTACCTGCTGTGAAAGGGGGAAGCTTATACTCGTATAAGACATAGTTTTTCGTATTAAGTGATACTAAACATTTTAAGAGTCTTACTAATTAGAGAAACTCCGTGTGATCTCAGTGAGTTGACCTTGGTGTGGGAGTCTCTAGTCTTTTTCTGTGGGAATCCAAGGAAAAGGTTTCAGCTGCTCAGTGACCTGCATCATCAGCACATGGACCCAAGTCTAATGAGCAGACTCCCAGTTTCACAAAACCACAGGCTAGGCTACTTTACAGATCCTCCCACACCAAACTCCAGGAGGTGAGATCTGAAACAACAGTAATAGTAGTAAATACAGGATTAATAAAGAGTAAAATAAAGGTTTGCCTGCTCAACTGAATTTAGCACCAGAAGCATCGCCTGTCACTCCCATGACACAACTACATAGATAGGGATGTAAAAAACATTGGTCCTGATTCCTAAATACACAGGAACCAGGTGGCTGTGGGACATCACACAGGTTTGTCTGGACACTAGCCCTTTTTCAAATGCACTACACTGTACCATGCAGTCTCCTTTCTGAAACAAGAAAGCAGGTGAGGCCAGAGTATTTTAACCCTGAAACAAGTAGAGGTATCGCACCTGCCGTGCCTCCCGCACCATGTATGTGACCTTCTGTGCTGGTTTGGGCAGGACAGTGGGGCAACAGGGGGCGGGGGGTGTGACCAGAACAGCTGCCAGTGGGAGCCTTTCTCAGGTGACAGGTGCTCTGGGGTAACTGCAGGAGGGAAGCTCCTGGTCTGAGTCGGTATCTACCAGCAGAGGGCAGCAGAGCTACAGCAGGAGCAGCAGGACAAAGGCTGGGGCTGCCCAAGGGGAGCATCACAGGGCCACCAGGTCTGGGGGATAGCTGAGTGTCTAAGGTTCAGTCCTCAGAGACTGGGGATGATCAGTCTTATCTCCTCAGGCTGCAAGGACCGTGTTCTGAGGGTCACAGTATCATCCAGGACACTACAAGAGTCCTGGCACAGTGAGCACATCACCAGGGAAATTCACAGCCCCTCTCTGACCACCAGTGTCCCCAGGGACTGACTCCTTTGTGCTGGGCACATCCAGAGACCCCCTGATGACTCACTCTGCCTCTCCTTCCCCACCTCCACCCAAACTCAGACCTGGGGCTGCAGCTCTTATGTTCAAGAACATCTCAGGGGGCAAAAGGCAGAGCACTTGGGGACCCTGGTCCCTGGAAGAAGCATCTGCAGCTTCCTTGTGAGTCTGTCTCCTGCGTGACATGATTCTCATGGCCTGTAGGGACCATTGTTCAGGCCCTAGAGCTTATACCATATGGGAACATATGATCATGTGGATCCTCACAAGACCAAAAACCTTGAAGTTGTTTCTCATGGATTCAGGCCCTTTACACAGGTTGCATGAAACATTGATGAAAAAACTAATAGGAATGAAATGGTTGACAATGCCAATTGCTGGTCCACTGTGATAATGGGGGCTGTCATAGAGACAAGAACACCATGTGTACATAGACTAGAAATCCTGATGAATCTCCAACAGCAGGTGGTTTTTTTAACAAGTAAACTCAGACTTATAAATGATGAATGAACCTCAGAATGAGAGTTTCTTATTCTGTTGACATGCCAAGGATTGGACCGCAATTTCTGTGGAGGAACACAGAGGGGACCAAAACAGGGGGAATAAGGCAGTTAGGTCACAGGACCACCTCACCCTGAGTCAAGTGTTCTCTGCATTGCTCAGAGGGACAAGGCCAGTACCATGGCCAGGATTCTGGAAGGCCCTGGGCCAGCTCCAGACATCTCTTAGGCAGAATGGGTAGGGACAGTGGTTGTGTTCAAACTGCAAGGATGTGACTGTGAAACCAAACTCTGGAGACCAAGTCTCATTTTCTGACCTGAGAGCTGCTTGGAGGAAGCTTGGGTCTCCTCTCTTCCTCCTCAGTCACCTTTTCTGAGATCACAAGTGGTTTGAATGCATTTGGAGTCCCAGAGAGGAATAAATTTGCATAAATACTAACAATCACAGGACAAGTGCCTGGAAAGAAATAAGAGAGGCCAGGGTGAGCCTGGCCCAGCTGTGGTTCTCAGAAGACAGAGCTCTGGGTACAACCACCATGGCCTGGACTCTCTCTCTCCTTGTCCTTAATCTCTGCACAGGTGCTGTCCCCAGGCCCAGCTCCACAGGATTTGAACTGAGCCTGCCCAAATCCTAAGCTCCACCCTAGCACAGTCTCAGTATTGGGATCCTGTGAATGAGCCCATGGACCTCATTGCAACTTCTCTTCTTTCTTCTCAGGCTCCATGGTCTCCAGCGAGGTGACTCAGCCACCCTTTCTGTCAGTGGCCCTGGGAGAAATGGCTACAATCACCTGTACCAGAGAGGAACTTGAAGATGGTTATGCACACTGGTACCAGCAGAAGCCAGGCCAAGCCCCTTTGATGGTTATTTATGGTGATAGTGAGTGGCCCTCGGGGATCCCTGAACGATTCTCTGGCTCCAAGTCGGGGAACACAGCCACCCTGACCATCACTGGGACACAGGCTGAGGATGAGGCTGACTATTACTGTCAGAGCTATGATGGCCATACTGATGTGCACAGTGACACAGGCAGATGGGAAGTGGGACACAAACCCGTTCCCCATCTGTGTCATACTCTCCTCCAGCCCCAGGAGACCTGTGCACAATACAGGGAGCATATTTGGCCCAGGTCCCCAGATCTGAGGCCTCCACTCTGTCCCCTTCCTCCCAGTTCTCCAGGCAGGCTGTACAGGGCGGATCACCAGGGGATTTGTAATCAGTTATTAGAATTCTATTAACATAAGAGTGTGGGTGGAGGAAGGACTATACATCTGAGAAGCAGAAATGGAAGACATTTTTTTAAGCTTTTTTTTATTTATTTCTTTGACAGAGACAGATCAGAAGTAGGCAGAGAGGAAGGCAGAGAGAGGAGGAAGCAGGCTCCCTGCTGAGCAGAGAGCCCGATGCGGGGCTCGATCCCAGGACCCTGAGATCATGACCTGAGCTGAAGGCAGAGGCTTTAACCCACTGAGCCACCCAGGCGCCCCTGGAAGACATTTTTTGAAGAACCCCTCTTTTAAGGCTTCCCAAATTATTCAGTCTGAAATTTTAAAATACATGGGTTAGACTGACAGCAGATATGATGCTGCAAAAGAGGATGTTAGGGAACTTGATGTCACAACAATGGAAAGCACTCAAAATGAAACACATAGAGAAATACCTAATAAAACTAATGAAGGCTTGGTGCCAGAAAAACACCTTCATGCCACCCAGACAGCGTGCAAATGTAGGAACTGCAAGAAAGATGGTAAAGAACTGAGGAAAAATAAAAAAAAAATCTGTGAAGAAATAATCTACAAAAAGGCTTCAAGTTTAGAGAAATCCAGAAACCAATATATCTAAGGAGCTCAATGAAACTCAGATAGAGGGAACATGAAAGACAGCACAGGACACATCATTATGAAATTATTACAAACCAGTGATGCATACACTGTCACAACCAGAGAGGAGACTCCTGTTCTAAACAAATAAACCAGCATTGTGCTGGAAGCACATTTCTCATCATGAACCATGTAAACAGGAAAACAGAGGGCAATATCTTCAAAATATTAATAGAAAACACTGTCAACCTTCGTCTTTATCCACAAAAAATATCATTGAAAATTGAAGACAAACTGAACCTTCCTCAGACTGTAAACTTCTCAGAACTGATCACCCACAGATCCTCAGCACAAGCAACAGTGAAAGATGCCCCTCAGACAGAAGGAAAGGGTGACAGATGGAAATGTGAGTCTACACAGAGTATAATAAGTTTCAAAAATCATAACTACATGGGTAAATCTAAAACAAATTTTAGTGATCAATGTCTGCAAATACAATCAATTCCTTAGAGCAAAAACAATAGCAATGTAGTTGATTTATAATGGAGGTACAAATAAAACATGATCATGAGAGCAGAAATGATGAGGGAGATGAGAGTATTTTTTGACATCCTCATCATTCATGTGTTTGATGCTGTGTCACTGAGAGGAACTCTGATAATATAGGAGGTAAGGGTTGCAAATCCACATAAACCATTAAAATAATGTCACTTTGAAAACAAAGAGCTATAGCTACTCAGATGCATAACCTATGATTAAAGGGTACAGATCCAATAAAAGAACATAGGTGTCATATATGTATACTGTGTGTTCCTCTGTGATGCACAGAGAGACAGCGACAGTGGGAGAGAGAAACTCACATTGAGAATCAGCTCAGGCAGTTCTGGGGTGGCAGGTCTGGAAGATGCAGGACAGGACAGAAGGATGTAAGTCAGGATGAGGTTGCAGAGTTTCATCCATATTTAGTCTGAAGGATTGAAAACCTAAGAGGAGACAGAGAAGAAAATTAAAGCAATCCAATTCAAACTGCTAGAGATGAAAAATATACTGTCTCTGAACACAAATACAAGGGCTGAGTTTAGCAGCAGACACAAGACAAATAACGTGGGGGAATGTAAAGACACAGCACAGGCACTGCAGAGTAAAGGGTACAAGAAAAGTTTAAAAGTGAGCAAGGCAGGGAGCTCTTCAGAAGATGGTGGAGGAGTAGGGGATCCTATTTCAACTTGCCTCCTAAATTTAACTAGATATCTACCAAACTATTTTGAACATGAAATCAGTCTGAGATGTAAGAATTTATATCTGGGTCCCTAGAAGCAGAAAATCCATGGTAGTCTTGAGGTGAAAGGGGGAAAGCCATGATTCTGTGGGCAGATATAGGATGATAAATAGAAGATGGAGGGAGCTCCATAAGCTGACACAGAAAAGGTAATATAACACAAAAGTGCAAAAGTGTCCTGTGCTGGGGACTGGGCACAGGCTCACAGACAGGTAGCAGCAGAGAAAGGACTTTAGTCTTAGACAGGATCCAGATGCTGTGCATGGGCACAACCCAGAGGCATTTCATGGTTTCAGAAGAACAAAGGGAAGAAATGTTCCCAGGCTTGGGATCAACCTCTGGGAGAGTTGGTGTGGGGTGCACAATCAAGGAGGCTGTGGTTTTTAGCAGCACAGACAGAAACAGAGACTGGGTGTCCTGGAGAACTCAGTGATGGGCAGACTGTGATTTCTCTGTTCTGGAACAAAGGTTTCTGTGTGGTCACTACTGCTTTGATTCTTGGAAGAGACATGGAATGCCACCAGGGAAAGCCTCCAGAGATGTGGAAAGCCAGCAGTGACGGATGCCAAATAAATGTTTTCGCTGAGCCCATCCCTCCTACAGGGGCAGAGCAACTATGTCCAAAGAGGGTTGCAGAGCAGGCCCCTCCACCAGAAGACAGGCTGGAAGAACAAGAGGAAGACAACCCTAAGTTCCCTATAAAAGAGGTGTATCTTACTTGGGTAATGGTTAATATTTGGACTCTGTATATTCTCTCAACAACCCCTCCCAACAGAATGACTAAGAGGAGTGGGGAAACTGGCTGCAAAGATGGAGCTTAGGAGTGGGCACTTAGCTTGGGGTTGTCATAAATCATGATCCCAGGCATAGTCACGCCACTGCTCTTCAAGCAGGGACCCCATAAGTGGCAGATCCAGGAAGACCCTCCCCTTCCTCCACCGGGAAGACCAGGAGACTGATCTCCGAGCAGGGGCCCAACAAGAGGGCAGAACCAGCAACATCCCCATCATCCACCAGGAAGATCAGTGCGGGAGTGCACTGTAGGAATCTGCTAGGTTTGGAGACTCCAAACATCGCTGTGTGCCAGAGATAGAAACTCTCATTCACAGACCTGAAGAGCACAGAGCACATCCAAAGACCAGGGAGACAGGAGTAATTGACTGCTTTTATCAGAGGGCACATGGAGGAGTGAGGCCCTGAGATCTTGGTTCCAGGTTGAAGATTGGGAGGCTGCCATCTTCATTCTCATCCTCCACAACTGTACAGAAAACATTAAGGGAACAAAAGCTACCGAGAGCAAAACTGAGTGAATTACTTAGCTTGGCCCATGGGGAGTGTTGTGTAAATCTGCTTGGGGAAAGACATTTGAGAATCACTATAACAGGCCCCTTGCCCAGAAGATCAGCAAGAACATCCAGCCAAGATCAAGTTTACCTATCAGTGAGAACTGAAAAACTCCAGAGTTAGGGGAATAGAACACATAGAATTCATGGCTTTTCCCCCATGATTCTTTAGTCTTCCAAAGTAAAAAATTTAAAATTTTCTTTTTTCTTTTTTAAATTTAATTTTATTTTTCAATGTTCCAAGATTCATTGTTAATGCACCACACCCAGTGCTCCATGCAATATATGCCCTCCTTAATACCGATCACCAGTTTCACCCCTCCCCCCATTCCCTCCCTTCCAAAACCCTCCGTTTGTTTGTCAGAGTCCACAGTCTCTCATGGTTCATCTCTCCCCTGTTCCACTTCCCCCAATTCACTTTTCCTTTCCTTCTCCTAATGACCTCCATGTTATTCCTTATGTTCATTTTCTTATTTTTCCTCTTTTCTATTTTAACTTAACTATTTTATTTTATCAATACCTTTTTAAAAATCTTTTTTTAATTTTCATTTTGTACTCATATTCTATCCCTTCATTGTATTTAACCTTATTTTTTGTATACATATAAGTTTTTCTTTCTTTCAGATTTTGGTGTACAGTTTCTTCTAACAGAAAAATCTAGAATATGGCTTTGTTCTAGTCTCCAGCCTGATCACATTCTCTCCCTTTTTCTTTCTTTTTGTAACCAATTTCTGGCCTTATCAATTCCTTTTTAAAATTCTTTTTAAATTTTTACCTTTACAAGTATATTGCATCACTTCATCATGTTTACCCTTATTTTTGAATACATACATATATATTTTCTTCTTTCTTTAAAATTTTAGAGGGCACTTTCTTCTAACAGAACAAAATACACCTAAAATCAAGTGTGTGGCTCTATTCTGTTCACTAGCCTAATCATTTTTTTTTTTTCACTTTCTTCTCCCCTGTTTTCTGTCTCTTCTGATTTGGATAGGGTATATTTTTCTGGGGTTGTTGTTACCCTTTTGGCATTGTTTTCTCTCATTCAACTATTCATCTCTGGACATAATGACATGGTGGAAAAATTCACCCCTCCCAAAAAAGAATAGGCAGTATCACCCCCAGCACCAAGTGCTGGGGTTCTAATCAACAATATATTAGTAAGATGTCAGAACTAGATTACAGAAAGACGATTATAAGGATGCTAGCTGGGCTTGAGAAAAGCATAGAAGATACTAAAAAAATACCTTTCTGGAGAAATAAAATCCTTTTCTGGAGAAATAAAAGAACTAAAATCTAAAGAATTTGAAATAAAAAAAGCTATTCATGAGGTGCAATAAAAAATGGAGAATCTTACTGTAAGGATAAAGGAGGCATAAAAAAAGAATTAATGATATAGAAGACAAAATGATAGAGAATAAAAAGGAAAAAGAGAGATAAACAACTGCTGGATCACGAGGGGAGAATTCTAGAAATAATTGATATAATAAGATGAAACAATATTAGTATATGGGATCCCAGAAGAAGAAGACAGAGAGACGAGGGCAGGAGGCATGTTGGAGCAAATTATAGCAGAGAATTTCCCTAATTTGGGGAAGGAAACAAACATCAAATTCCAGGAGGCACAGAGAACCCCCCTCAAAATTAACAAAAATAGGTCAACAATGCATCATTCAATAGTAAAGCTTACAAGTCTCAGAAACAAAGAGAAAATCCTGAAAGCAGCTCAGGACAACAAATCTGTAACCTACAACAGTAGAAATATAAGTCTGGCAGCAGAGCTATCTACAGAGACC